AATGACGTCATATTGAACTTACTGTAGATAACTTATATGCAGTAACTGCAGAAAAGCGAACCTTTTATTTATATAACATTTCTCTTAAAAGTTATACAAATCACTTGTGGAAAGGATATTGTAACAATTACTACCAACATTATAATCAATCAATTTCACTGTTAGATCGATTATGTTGATCCGATGGTTATATTTATTTCAATCTTTGTATAGTTATGATTATTCATATTTAATACTTTATATTTATTTCTACCTTTGTATGGTTATGATTTCTCATATTTAATGGGAAATCATAATCATACAAAGATGGAAACAAATACAACCGTTGGAAGAACATAATTGATCTAACGATGAAATTGATTGGTAGTAACACTAATTGGTTGTTACAATATCCTACCTCATCACTTATATACTTATCGGGAGAGGTTATAGTTACTACTTCTTTTTCTTACTACCTCTTACTACCAAATCTTATCGTTGATTTCCGTCAATCTAACAGTTATAATTTATTGGAAATTAATAATTAATTAATAAGTATGAACTAATAAATTACAACCGTTAAATTGACGAAAATCAACGGTTAAAATTGAGTAGTAAGAGATAATAAAAAAGAGAGGTAGTAATTATAACATTTTTCATACTCATCTAGTTATCAACATTTTATCATGTCTTAATAATTGAAGTACAATTATTTACAAAAAAAATTAGATAATCTGGAGATATTCCTACACAACCTTCTCCACCCACATTGTTCTTTGAGTACGGCCACTAAGGCTAATTCTCATTAAAACAGATGATGCATTGGACCACTATCATCGAAAGAATAGTGAGGCTAATTCTCCTTCTAAGGGGAGGTGATTTTCCTTTAACACCCGAAGATTTCAAAAATTTATTTTTATCAAGATTTGAACCCCGATCAAAGCAAATTCTTGGGCTCTCAATTGCCTTGGGGTTTAAATCAAGGTTGTTGAATCACAATACATATCGTTTCATCGATTTTTTGTATTGTGAACCGCGAATCGTAAGATACATAAACATACAGATTTTTCATATTGATTTCTGAGTTTAAATCACAAATCAAATTTATATTTTCTTTTTCTTATCAATAATAATTAATTTTTAATCTAAATCATAAATAAAATCTTTATTTATTTTTTATATTAAAAATATACATATTTTAATTTAATTTTTGTATCATATGATACGCAATACGTATCGTATCGTACAATATAGTATCATATCGTCCGATACAAACTTCCTTTCCAATACATCCCACGATATGTATCGATGGATTTGTAAATCCTAATGCATCATAAGAATCATATTATGTATTGGATAATACTCATAACTATAATTTAAATTGTTTAAACTTGAGTTACCATGTTTCAAGTAATTTCTAAGAAGACAAATATACTATCAACAGCTCCTGGCGATTAATTGACTATTGCGGGTCAGAAAAAGAAACTTAATTACCAAAATATACATTCCCACACGTATTTACTTTTTTTAATAAATAAATAAGTTTGGTCAATCTGCCTATAAATCATGTCTACGATTTAGTAAGTTGAAATTTTCAGTTCACGGGAAAAAATAAAAGAAAATTTCAACTCCTTTCATAGATTTGAGCTATGTAAAAAAAATATTCTTCAAAACAAATGATGTAGCATAACAGTTTTGTGAATTTGAAAAGGGAAAAAAGATCTCACAAACATAGGTGAAGAGGCCAACTAATTAATTGCTCATTGAAAGATAAATTTAACAATGGACAGAGACAGACTGCATGCCAGTTGTACTTGTACATGGTGATGAACTCGTAGAAAACTAATTAAATAAGGAATGGAAGGTATAAGATCAATTTAATTGGCCATAAAATTGAATAAAAAGGCCAGGAATCAATTTCAATAAGCTGGCTATTACTTGTTATTGACTTTGATTGTGTGAATGATTAAGTATTATATGCATGATTATTTAGGAATTGGTCATTGGTTGTTGCAATTGTATAAACTTGCAGCTTAATTATTTGTCTTCTTTCTATATTTGAGTCATCAATGATTTGTACGCGGTACAGCGACTATCATCGAAAATGGTCCTAATGTGGAAGCCCGGAAAATCATGGCCGTCCGATCATTAAGTGATGCAGTTAGATTAATCACACAGAGATGGCAACAAGATAATTGAGAAGTCACCATCTTCATAATGAAAACATGGCCTCAAGTTTTTCCACGTTGGTTAAAGAGGAAGTCCATTGCATAAAGTGTAAACTAATGGCTGAGGAATAAACAGGTCCACTCTCAATGCACGCGCGTTGCTTTGCGCCCATCCTTTATTCTAATTCTTGATTCATATTTATATAATATTAGTTTGTAGGTATTACCCCAATTACGCATTAGGTATTATGTACGTGCATTAATGATGGTGGATGCCAGCTAATTTTTACCTAATACTTGCTTGAGCTTATTGTTATTGACATATTCGTGACTTACTGACTTTTTCATTCAATTTTTGTTTCTTGATACATTACCAACTTATGTTTGGCTTTGCCTTTTGTTTTTCGTGTAATGTTTTTTTGAAACGGATCCGGTTATCATCAAAAAATTTTACAACTCTTATAATTAATTTAATTACGGTTGATTTCTGTCAATCTAACGGTTATAATTTATTAAAAATTAATAACATTTATTGTGTCACATTTATTAATTCTCAATAAATTATAATCATTAAATTGATGAAAATCAACGGTGATTAAATTTGGTTGTAAAAGTTGTAAACTTTTTTGGTGATAAGTGGATCCTCCTCCATGTTTTTGTTAGTTTTATTTTATTTTTTAATCTCTTTTAGTTACAATTAATAAATAATGCAATATGAGTTATTACTTATGTTTTCATTGGTTTATTTAATATAAGAGATGATAGATAACTCTTTTAGTTACGGGACGGTTGGTAGAGGAGAGAAATTTTTTATCTGAAAATCTCAATTTTCAGAAATATGATAAAAATATTCAATTTACGATAATATCCGAAAATTAAAAATTTAGAAAAATTCAGTTTTTCAAAAATCCTAAAAAAAATCGCGTACCAAACGGCCCCTAATGGTAGAATAATCATGTAGCTGTATTCGCACTTTCAATTAGGAATACAAGTATACAACTCATGCCCCTCGTAGAGGTCAATCTTAATGAAAAATTTATCTTTTTTAAAAATATCCACACATAACAAGTATAAAATTACATAAAAGTACATCTTTTGTTGTCAAATGCATAGTTATCAGTAATATGATACACGATACAATTCATATGATACGATACAATTCATATGATACGATACAATTCATAAGCTCAATAATGTTTATTGTGGGATGTATCAGAAAGAAATTTGTATTGAACAATACGTCATACGATACGAAAAATTAAATTAAAATTTATAATTTTTAATAAAAATAAATAAATATTTGATTTATGATTTAAATTAAAAAAATTCTAAAAATTATTATTAATAAAGAAAAGAAAGGAAAGGAATCATCATATCATCATACAATAATAAGATAATGTCAACTGACTTGATAAACGAAATGATATTGCCAATAAAAATAATAAGCGAAAATGATCTCATATTGTTAAACAAGAAATGAGAGATGAATCAAATAATTATCCTATTCAAGATGAAAATGGATTAGTTATGTCACTGATAGATATTGACAGTTATAGTCATGATAATATTAGTTTTAATGATTGACGAGCAAGATAATAATTGATTTACACTTTAGTTACTTATTATTTTGTTTATTAGATCTTTTTTGAAATTTGAATTTATATGATATTAATTATATGATATATTTTTAAATTATTTTTTATTATATTTCTATATCTTGCACACACTTAAAAATCAACCAAATAATACATTATATATAGGATTCGCTTTTTCTACGATCAATGTAGATAACTTATCTATAGTGAGTCCAAAACGACGTCGTTTTGAAGCGAAAATCAAGGTATTTTTATAATTATAATTTATTTCAGGATTATAATAATCTTTTTCATTATAATTTTTTAATTTTTAAACCCAAAACGACGTGGTTTTGGAAGAGAAATCTACATTCACTTTAAGAATATTAAATCATTATATATATTACCATTCAACAACCTTGATAAAATGACCAAAAGAGCAACAAATTCGCAAACGTTGAACCTTTTATACTTCATATCTTCATGGTTAATTGCCCAAACAGAGAGTAAAAGTACACTTATCATTGTCAAATGACCAAAAGAGTGATGAATTCGCAAAAGTTGAATCTTACCTACTTCATGCTTGATTGCCCAAACGGAGGGTATTGTGAAAATGAACATCGTTCTATCTTAAACTAACTTGAAATTTTCATTTAATGTGGCTGTAAGAAACAAGAATAAGTTGCTTTCATTCGTCAAATATGAGAAATTTGTAAATTAGTTAAAGAAAAACAAGTTGACCTTAAAAGTCATCAAGAATGATTAATGAGATTGAGAATATAAAGCTTGAGGAGTATTTTCTCCGCGTGGATTGTGAAAGCAGAGAGAGCTGGACACAGCTAAAGGCTGCGGTTTGAACGTTGCCATCTCTCTCCCCATTGAGAAAAACTTTAATGCGCCAGTGATACGGAATTCGGTATTTTTTTTATTAAAAATATCTTTCTTTTTTTTGAAAAATATTATATTTATTATTATTTTAATTTTACTACTCTTATTATCTGATTGATTATTGTGGAATCAATTTAAAATTAACGGAAATTAATTTTTTAAATTTTTCAATTATTAATTTCAAATTATCTAATGATAATCAATATAAGAATAATAAAATTAAAATGACAATAAGTACAATTACACTCTTTCTTTTAAATCTATTTTTTTTCCTTTTTTTTTAGTAAAAAGTAATATCGAGATCGGTAATATCAAAAAAGAATTCGTTATCTAAATTCCAACGTGGTTGTCTAATCCGTGTTAAGCCCAAAACAACCTCCTAGTCCTAGTAATAATTTGTCTCTCTCACTTCCCAACAAATCCAACCCCTTCTCAATCTCACATCCTTTTCCTTTCAATTTCTTTGTGCTTTACCACTCTCTCTCTCTCTCTCTGCCCAAAAAGAAAAAGGAAACGCCTTTCTTCGCTTATTCTTTGCATCGTATTCATAACTGAAACCAACAACAACCTCTTTCATTCACCGACAACATAAATTCAGCCCCAAAAACAATAAAAAACCACCATGACAGATAGAGTCTACCCTTCCGCCAAGCCAGTCGCCAACGGCAACGGCGCCGCCGCCGCCAACCCATCTTTTCCGGCCACAAAGGGTCAGCTTTACGGCGCCAACCGCCCCACTTACCGCCCCCAACCCCACTCCCGCCGTAGCCGCCGCGGATGCTGCTGCTTCTGCTTCTGGTTCATCCTCACCCTCCTCGTCCTCCTCCTCCTCATCGGCGTCGCCGGCACCGTTTTCTACTTCCTCTACCGCCCTCACAGCCCTGATTTCACCGTAACATCCCTTAAACTCTCGTACCTAAACCTCACCTCCTCCTCCTCCACTCTCAGCTCCAAATTCGACCTCAACATAACCGCGACAAACCCCAACAAGAAGATCGTCTTCGTTTACCAACCTACCTCCATTTCCATACTCTCCGGCGACGTTGACGTCGGCGACGGGACCATACCGTCCTTCGAGCATGGGAAGAAGAACACGACGCTTCTGAAAGCTTCGATTTTGAGCAATGGGCAAGCACTGGAGAGTGACGCTGTGACACAGTTGAAGGCTAGCATGAAGAGCAAGAACGGGTTGCCGTTGAAAGTGACGTTGGACACGAAGGTTAAGGCGAAGATGGGGAAATTGAAGACACCATACGTCGGAATCAGAGTCGCTTGTGACGGTATCAGGGTAAATCTTCCGGCGGGTAAGAAGCCGGCGACGGCGTCCACTTCGAACGCGAAGTGCAACGTCGATGTTAGGTTTAAGATCTGGAAGTGGACCATTTGATGAACAAAGACACTGCAACAACACAACAGAGTGTGTGTTTTCTACTTTATTTTATTTTATTTGAATTTCAATTTTTTTTTCTCCCTTATTTATTGCTTTCAGCTTCTTTTAAATTCTAATTTTTTTGTTATGGTATATTTTTCTTAAATTTGTTCATATTCATAAATTGCTCAAATGCGTGTAAATGGCAACGGAGATTGCTGGGGTTTCAGTCGGTGACAGTTGTTAGCTTGTTGAATACTATTCTATTCTATTTTATTTTATTTTGCTAGAAAGATTTGTATTTTTCTGTTTTATTTTGTCTTAATCTTTATTGTATTGCATTGTGTGTGTGGCAGCATTATTTTAGTTTGTTGCTTTGTATAATGTTAAATTGGTTATTCTTACTCAGGGCATCTCTGTCATTAAAATGACGTTAAAAAGGCTACTATTTGCACACTTTTAATTTATTTTATTTTATTTTGGTTGTGACTGCAAAATATTTGTAGAATGATCGCTTTATCGCTAGTGTATATTGCTAAACGTTAAGCTTTTAATTACTTAGAATAATTAAATAGAAAGATAGATTTAATGTTTTAAGCAATTAGTAAGATTATTAAGGTGTTTTATTATGAATGTCTACAGTTTTTCATTCTTTTACTTTTCAATATATATGAAGGAGGGCTTATGCCGACAAAGAAATTTGATTATATATTTCCAAAAAAAAAAAAAAAAAAGAAATTTGATTATAAAGATTAATCGGATAGATGACCAAATAAATTTTAATTGTACCTCAGTTTATTTAAAATAGAGGTGTTACGAATAATTAAATAGAAAGATAGAATAATTAAATTGTAGGGATAAAGAGATATAAATATAAAGAAAAGGACTGGCTAACCAGTTTTCTTTTTTAATCAAATTACTCATTAAAAAACAGTTAATAGTTTACTTACTAAATTTAATTACAATTCGAATGGTAGCATATTCTTAAAGAAGTGGTTCCTGTAAGTTTACCCATATTTTATATGGGTTTGTATTTTCTCATTGCACGAGAAGGTGGAGCTTTCTTATTGTTAGAGAAGAGAAGGAGTGAGACTTATTTTTTTTTAAAAAAATAGAAAAATGGCTGGTATTGGTATCAGAGAGAAGAGACTTCTTATGAGAAGTCTTTATCTCATTTTATATTCCTGTTACTAAAAAGCAAAGTGATTTGACTTGGTTTTGGTGAGGTGTGTGGTCTGGTTTTGTATGGCGGTGCCACGAATGATTGTAATCGTAATTGTAATTGGTATTGCTTTGAAAAGCGACAATGGTGGGTGCGCTGATTATTGTGCTCAACTCCGTCTTCCCACTTCATAAATTTCCGCATAGTTTTGTTGTTTTTTAAATTGCTGTCGCCACACTCTTTACTCTTCCCTGGACTTCAATTATTGTCCTCTTCCTCTTCCTAACCAATTTTCCAGTGGGACCAGTTATCTTTATGATTCAGGTGCTCTTTTCACTATAAAAATATATATTAAATAAGGGTAGAGTGAATGTCATGTTAAAGGATGTAAAGTTGTGTCATTTTAAGAGAAGAAAAGAGATAGATAAAGGAGAAGAGAGAGTTGACAAAAAAAATAAAGATGTGGGTCCCACCTCTTTGTGAGAGGGAAATGATATAAGTTGTGTCATTTAACAGGATAAACATTTTTTCCATTAAATAATATGAACATATTTTTGAGAAAAAATTTATGAAAAGAAAAGCTCTTGTATTTCATTACTTATTTATTTATTTTTTGAAATTTTTCTTTAATTATTATTGGTTATGAGGTACTATTTTCATGCAAAAAATTTTATACTGAATTATATTGCTGTAAACTTATTCAGTAAATAGTGAATATCATTATATTATTATTGTTATTAATAAATAAACATTGTAGCATTTGTTATGAACCGAGTTTACACTTCCGAGTTAATCATAGGAGTGCCGAGTGGCAATAGGAGTCCATATGACCCGAATGCCAATATATTCAACATGAATATGAAATGAATTCAAAATTAGATTAAAACTTTCATTACGAACACGGTCGACCCATTTATTTTACGGGTTGACACGATATAACTTGTAAATTTATAATGTGTTATTTATTATGTGGGTGGACGTGATACGACACGACATGGATAAGCTATCAACTCAAACTGCGTTACTTATTGTGTAGGTCGACATTACACGATAAGAATGTAGGGATGTATATAGGCTAGATTAGGCTTTGGCTTAAATAGACCAAACCTGTGTAAATTTTTTTGGATTTGACCTCACCTATTAACCTGTGTAGGTCCAAATTACTAGTATGACCTGACCTATATTTAAAAAAAAAAAGCCTTGGCCTAAGCCTGTTAGTTTGTTTAAGCCTATTAAACATTCAAAAATTAAAAGAATAACTAAAATAATATTACTTTATTATTCAAAATTATTAAAATAATAATTTTATTTATTTTATTTAAATTAAATAATATAATACAGGCCGGCCTGTAGGCTTATAGGCCCGACATGTACAAAAGAGCCCATGACCTATTTTCTAAATAGATTTTTTTTTAAAAGCCTAAGCTTGTTTTATTTTCCTATTTATAATAGGTCAAGCCTGACCTAATATAGGCTAGGCCGTAGGCCCGTGTAGGCCGACCTAACTCATTTACACCCCTAGATAAGATACAAATAACCTATTTATGACATGACACAATATGAACAACCTGTAAGAGGATTAGTGGAGGTCGATTTCGAGTTCACTAATTGACACGCAACACAACATATTTTTTCGGGTCAGTCTTTGTTGACATGAAAATTACGACATGAATTTGAAAACGGATTAATTAGAACACAAATTTTTTCGTGTCGTGCCAACGGATTATGTTGAAAATTGTCACCTTTAATTAATCCTAATCAAAGTTAGTATTTGAGAAGGCTTTGGTTTCATGTAAAAAAAAGACAGTAAAATTTGTACTAAAAAAAAAAAGTTAAATAAGGGAATAAAATAAAAAGAATCGAAAAAAAAGAAAAATTATTACTCAATAATGCAAACTCTTACAGTACATGGACTCAAATTTATTTTTGGGCTAGTAATTTTATTTGGATACAGGCCCAACGGCCCAACAGGATTCCTAACCAGGTCCAATACACCGTTGAATCAAGGACCTTTTAGTCTCCTTAATCAAAATAATTACACTATTATTATTGTCTTCATCGTCCTCGTATTCCTGTTCTTATGTGAACCTTTCTTCAAGCTTCATGCTCAATGCAGCCTCTGAGCGCTTCCTCTCTTTCTCTTCACGTTTCCACCCCATTTTTCTCATCTCGTTATCAAACGCAAAACTCACTCGTACAATCTCTTCCGTGTCCTGCAACCACTCCCACAATGAACTTCTTGATTCTTTCGATGTCCTTCTTCAACGATGTTTCAGTCTCCAACAAGCTCGCCAAATTCACTCCCAATTCGTTGTTACTGGATCGCATCGTTCGGCCTTCTTGGTCGCTAGGTTTATTGCTGTTTATGCCCGCTTTGGGTTTGTCTCCGATGCTCGCAAAGTGTTTAATGCCATCCATGTTGAGGGTCTCCAAAATCTTCTTTTATGGAATTCGATTATCAGAGCAAATGTCTCTCATGGGTATTATGAATATGCGCTTCAGCTTTATATTGAAATGCGAAAGCTTGGATTTTTACCGGATGGGTTCACTCTTCCGTTGATAATACGTGCTTGTTCGTATCTTGGTAGCTCTAGTCTCTGCAAGATTGTACATTGTCATTCTTTGCAAATGGGTTTTCGGAATCATCTTCATGTAGTGAATGAACTGGTGGGTATGTATGGGAAGCTTGGGAGAATGGAGGATGCCTGCGAATTGTTTGATGGAATGGTTGCGAGAAGCCTTGTATCGTGGAATACTATGGTTTCGGGTTATGCCTTCAACCATGATTCTGTTGGTGCTTCTAGGATTTTTAAGCGGATGGAGTTGGAAGGTTTGCAGCCAAACTCTGTAACATGGACCTCGCTGTTGTCAAGCCATGCTAGATGTGGGCTTTATGATGAAACCCTTGAGTTTTTTAAGTTGATGAGGACAATGGGAATTGAAACCAGTGCTGAAGCCCTAGCCGTGGTGTTATCCGTGTGTGCTGACATGGCTGAAGTTGACAAGGGCAAAGAAATCCATGGGTTTGTTATTAAAGGTGGATATGAAGATTATGTGTTTGTGAAAAATGCACTGATTTGCAGTTACGGGAAGCATGAACGTCTGGGGGATGCGCATAAAATATTTGCTGACATAAAGAAGAAGAACCTAGTAAGTTGGAATGCTTTGATATCAGCATATGCTGAATCTGGATTTTGTGACGAGGCCTATGCAGTATTTTTGCAGCTGGAGAAATCAGATGGTCATCCCTCGGTTAAACCCAATGTTATAAGTTGGAGTGCGGTTATTGGTGGGTTTGCTTCTAAGGGGCGTGGTGAGGAGTCACTGGAACTTTTTAGGCGAATGCAGCTTGCTAAAGTAATGGCCAACTGTGTGACAATTTCCAGCGTTTTATCAGTTTGTGCAGAGTTAGCAGCATTGAACCTTGGCAGGGAGCTACATGGTTATGCCGTTAGGATTCTGATGGATGACAATATTTTGGTGGGAAATGGTCTGATTAACATGTATATGAAGTGTGGGGATTTCAAGGAAGGGCATTTAGTATTTGATAACATTAAGGGTAGAGATTTAATCTCATGGAACTCACTGATTGGGGGTTATGGAATGCATGGGCTTGGTGAAAATGCTTTAAGAACTTTTGATGAGATGATTAAAGCAGGAATGAAGCCAGACAACATCACATTTGTTGCTGTTCTATCTGCTTGCAGCCATGCTGGACTTGTTATTGCTGGTCGCAACCTTTTTGATCGGATGGTCACAGAGTTCAGGATTGAACCTAATGTAGAGCACTACGCATGCATGGTTGATCTCCTTGGTCGTGCTGGATTTTTGCAAGAAGCAAGTGATATTGTGCGGAACATGCCAATTGAACCTAATGAGTGTGTTTGGGGAGCTCTTCTAAATTCATGTAGAATGTACAGAGATACAGACATTGTAGAAGAAACAGCAGCACATATTCTAACCCTGAAGTCAGAAATAACTGGGAGCTTCATGCTGCTGTCCAGTATTTATGCTGCAAGTGGAAGATGGGAGGATTCTGCAAGGGTCAGGGTCTCAGCAAAGACAAAAGGTTTTAAAAAAATACCTGGTCAAAGTTGGATTGAGGTGAGAAAGAAAGTCTACACATTCTCAGCAGGGAATGTCCAATTGGGAATGGACGAAGTTTACTTGATCCTTGAAGAATTGGCACTTCAAATGACGAGTGAAAATTATAAAGCCGATAGTTGCTTCAATCAACAATGTATTTGCGATCAATCAGAGCTCTTGCTTGTTGCAAACTGAGAGGCTTGATATCATGTTGTGTCATGACATTCTCCACCAGCACTACTGGAAATATTTGAATGCCACTTCAGAATGTGAGTTATCAGAAAATAAATTATTATATTTTCTAAATTTTTATTTTCACCCATTATTTATTTTTATCTAAAATCTTGAATTTTCTACTAATTAGAAAGTAAATTATTGATTCCTTTGTCATTTATGTTTCGATACGATAATCAAATCAATTTCAAAGATTACTCATTTATGATGTTAGACAAAAATCAAATAGACTTCAGAAGTTAATATTATATTCTTCTAACATTAGCTGATTTTATAGTTTAATTTTTACACCCTTATTAATAATGTCTTTTTATATATATAAAAAAAAGAACACCAATACGTAGCTATACAGCATTTTTGTGATTCACATGCATGGCCTCACAGCCACTGAGAAATCACCGCCAGATGACGATATTTCCTTTTCCTTCAACACTCACAAGAAAACCGCTTAAACTCTACACTTTCTTCTCATCAATTAAATCCTCCATCCATCACCTTGATTTCTTCTTCTTCTTCAACAACAACAACCCATTTTGAACCACATTCTTCCATGGCAGCCAACGAAGAAGAAGTACCCAAAAGGGTCCAATACCCATTGGACTCTTGCTCCTACAAGTTACTCGACAAGATAGGTACTGGTGTCAGTGCCATTGTCTACAAAGCAATCTGTGTGCCAATGAACTCTTCACTTGTAGCAATCAAATCCATAGACCTTGATCGTTCACGCCCTGACTTGGACGATGTTCGACGCGAAGCAAAGACCTTATCTCTTCTTTCTCACCCAAACATCCTCAAATCTCACTGTAGCTTCACTGTGGATCGTCGTCTTTGGGTGGTGATGCCATTCATGGCTGGTGGTTCTTTGCAATCCATCATTTCTCACTCTTTCCCAGATGGCTTACCCGAACCATGCATAGCTGTGGTTCTCAAAGAGACTCTGAATGCTCTCTCTTACCTCCATGGTCAAGGACATCTTCACAGGGACATAAAAGCAGGAAATATCCTAGTGGACTCAAATGGATTGGTGAAGCTTGCAGATTTTGGTGTCTCTGCTTCCATTTATGAGTCTTTGAGTTCATCGTCTGGTGCAGCATGTTCTTCATCTTCTTCTTCTCTTATGCTTACTGGTGTTGCTGGCACACCATATTGGATGGCTCCTGAGGTCATTCACTCACACACAGGCTACAGTTTCAAGGCTGATATATGGTCATTGGGGATAACTGCTTTGGAGTTAGCACATGGAAGGCCTCCTCTCTCTCATCTTCCTCCTTCTAAGTCTATGATACTCAAGATCACCAAGCGGTTTCGGTTTTCAGATTTTGACAAATATAGGAAGGACCATGGTGGCAAGAAGTTCTCCAAGGCCTTCAAGGACATGGTGGCTTCTTGCCTTGACCAAGACCCTTCAAGGAGACCCACTGCTGAGAAACTTCTCAAGCATCCCTTCTTCAAAAACTGCAAGGGCTCTGAGTTTCTAGTGAAGAATGTGCTGCAAGGGTTGCCTAGTGTTGAGAAAAGGTATAAAGAGAGCAAGATTCTGCAGCATTCAACGAGTAACGAGGAGGAGGATGAAGAGGATGATGAGCAGCAAAATATGAAGCAGAGAAGGATCAGTGGTTGGAACTTCAATGAAGATGGGTTGGAACTCGACCCTGTATTCCCGAACGATCAGACCAACTACGATGATTCTATTGTTAAAGAAGTCAGGTTTGGAGGTGAAACTGTTATCCAAGACACGGGTGTTCAGATGGGTGAATCAGAAGAGCATGGTGTTGCTGCATCAAGAACCACGAGGGAGCCAAACCCGAGTGCTGTTAATGTTGATGAGGTTGACACCTTAGTGGGTATTCATGGTTCTGCAGGAGTGGGAAAAGCTGGAAGTGTTGAGGTTGGAAACCGCGAAGCCATGTTGGCCACTCTGAATGTATTAAAAGGGAGCTTGGAACAAGAGCTTGGGCAAGTTAAGTTTCTGATGAATATGTTACAAAGAGAGGAGCCTCAAGTGGTTGATAGTGAGGAACAAATGATTTCAAGGCTGATGACTGAATTGGAAAACGAGAGGAAGAAGAACTTGCAGTTAGAGTTGCAGATTGAGGCCTTCAAGCTTCAGCTTTCTTCCGGTGTTAATTAATAGTTCTAAAATCTAATCGAAGGTCTCAAACAGTTAACATCTAAACAGGTTTGGAAAAAATTATATTGAAAGAGAGAAGCAAAACTCCCTAAACGTGGTGTGTTTCCCTCCAAAATGATCTCGTTTTTGATTGAAAGTGGTACTTTATCTCTACTGAGACAGATACGAAACACTCCCCCTTCTCTCTCTATATATATAATGTCCCAAGCCGTTAGGATTGTTTTAAAGGTAAGGGATTTAGATAGATATAGTATTTCAGGTCACTAGATTGGTTTAGTGCTAAGAGGTTTACATAGTTTGAATGAGGTAAGCTCCAAATCTCAATGCTACCCTAATATAAAAAAAAATTGTGATATACTGTCGACGATCGAGACTCCGGTTTGGTATATCTTGTAAGTTGTATTCATTTGTTTTATGTTGTAATTCACGTGTACTCGTTGCTTTGGTAATATGCTATGGCTTGGCCGACAGGTCTTTGTCTTCAATATTACTTTTATATATATATATATATAGAGGAATGATATTGTAACAACAAATTGTGTTACTAGGTTACCAAAAAAAAAAATTTGCGTTACTATCATGTTACTACCAATCAATCTCACCGTTAGATCGATTATGTCGATCAAACGGTTATATTTATTTCCATCTTTGTATGGTCATAATTTTTCAAATTTAATATTTTATATTTATTTTCACCTTTGTATGGTTATGATTTCTCATATTTAATGCTTTCACTTTAAATATGGAGAATCATAACCATACAAAGATGGAAATAAATATAACCGTTAGATCAACATAATCGATCTAACGGTGAGATTGATTGGTAGTAACACAACTTGGTTGTTACAATATCCTTTTCCATTTTTCCATATATATATATATATATGGGAGGAGTTATATTTACAACCCAAATAGTTTACAAACTCTTACAACCATATCTTAACCGTTGATTTTCGTCAATCAACGGTTATCATTTATTGTGGATTAATAATTAATTAATAAATTTTGTTTGCGAAAATCTTAACCGTTGATTGACGGAAATCAACAGTTAAGATATAGTTGTAAATGAAGATAGGTTGTAAATATAACCTTCCTATATATATATATATATATATATATATATATATATATATATATATATATATATATATATATATATATATATATGAGGCAGGATCCTTTGACACCGGTGTCAAAGAAAAAGTTTGACACCTCATCTGAGAGCCGTTAGATTAAAAAAAATCAATGGTGTCACATGCTTACAAATCAGAATCGTTGATTTTTTTTAATCTAACGGCTCTCAGATGAGGTGTCAAACTTTTTTTTTGACACCGGTGTCAAAGGATCCTGTCTCTCTCTCTCTCTCTCTCTCTATATATATATATATATATATATATCACTTTTTTTTACTATCATCTACTATCATTCACTATAATTATGGATTTCGGGAAGTATGTAGTTGTTATATTAAAGTTTTTTTTTTTTTTCTATTCAGAATTTTTTCAGAGAAAAAATGCTGATCTAACGGTGATTAGAGGTAGTAGATTGGTAGTGAAAAAATGTGGCAGTGTGAATATCCTCCATCTTATTTTTGTTAAGGGTTTAATATTTCTTACTAGAGATAAAATTATTTCCTTTTATACTAAAATGTCATTGGTTGGAAAAAATAATAATAATAAAGATTAATATAATTTTAAAATAAATTAGAATAATAAAAATACTTTTCTCCCAACCTTAAAATGAGGTCATTTTGTATCGTAGGAGATAAGTTTGTCGAAAATATTTAAGTGTGAATAGTAATAAAATTTCACATTGGTTAGACATAGATTAAGTTAGGATCATATTAGTGCAAAAGACTCAAAGATCTACGACCTTAAAATTTTGCGTTGAGAAATGATGTCAGTTTACTTATTATGATTTTGTCAATTAATCTATTGATACAAATATCTATTACAAAGGGTTTTGGGTTCTTCGTAACAAAATTATCTCCGATAAGAGAAAAATTAAACCTTTTTAATCAATAGAAAAAGAGCTTAGTGGGATCAAAGCTCAGACCCATTGGCAACTTGCATTGTCAAGAGGATGATAACATGAATTTAAATTATGATCACATGGGACAGCACTAACAGTTCTTCCAATCACCAATGCGAAGGTATGACACCTGCGAAGGTATAAAATCTGCTTTGCTTTTCGACTTTTCATCAAGTGAAAAATTATTTTCATATTACATGAGGTATATTTTTTTTTCCTATACACTATTCGATAATCGTGCAAACTTTTTTTTTTTTTTAGGTAGTAAGGCCCCACCATTATATATTTATAACATAAAATTCGTTCTCTCGTGCAACATGATTACATGACACTAAATAAGCCCTTTCATCAATGTTGAAAAGAAGACTATAAAGGTTTTTGTTTGTGAAACAGACAAAAGTAAATCAACTTTATTATGTAATTCACACTTTTTTAATTAATATAAATAACCAAATAGCAACCTCAATTAATAATTAGTTATTTTTAATATAATCAATTCAATTATATCAATTTAAATAACTTTAATTGTAATGTAGTGAAGTAAAATAGTTAACTAATTGAATATAAATTTAGTTGAACTGTATTAAATTTATAACACTAATTATATTTTAAAATCACCAATGATATAGAAATATCATTCAGCAAAAAGGAATTGAGTAAAATCATTCATGCTAGTTGGAATTTATTGGCAAGCTGCAACCCATTAATTTGAGCAAAACAAACAAGTAACATTAGTGATTCAATAAGTCAAAGTTCTCGGTCATTTTCTCTCTCATAGTTCGTTATAGCCTATAGTGAATTTGGGAGAAATTGACACTTGTCCAATTTTTGCTCATAGCATACTAATATTTTGATCATGTAATCCGCTATTGATAGTAGCGAATTAGGTGACCACTAGTAAGGTGCCACATTAGCTAACAAAGTTTGCTAGCTGTTGTAGAGAACTTGTACACATGACACTTTGGCAAATTTTACTATTTGTGTGACAGTTGGTTTTTTTTTTTTTTGAGTAAATACCAATTTTGGTCCCTGACAAAAATCTTGGTACTCGTTCTAGTCCCTAGCAAAAATAAATTGCTTGGAAGTCCCCAACAAAGACAAATATGTCCCACATTAGTCCTTCTGTTAGTCCCAAACAGACGGCGTCACTGACGGAGCTGATGTGTAACGTTAATGGCCATGCTTAACTGCCACGTTGGAGTGGAAACGACGTCGTTTGGAGACCTAAGTCCACGTTGCTCATAATCATTTGGAGAAAACCAATTGAAGGTGAAGTTGTCCTTCCCCCTTAATTTCTTCACAAGAATGTCGTCGTATAGTGTAGGGTTTACATAAACACATTAGGTGGGGATTGAATCGAAGATTGAACGTTTCAATTTGGGGATTACTAATTTAGGGATTATTATCGATTTTGTGCGTTCTTTGAAACTTTGTGTTTAGGAGATGGATATTTCTTCTAGGAGGGGGAGCTCAAGCCCTTGTAGTTCATTTGGGTCCAGAAGTCAAAGAAGGAGAGCTGCTCCAATCTGTAAATGTTGGAGGCACAATGTTGTTTACACCTCCAAAACGGATAGAAACCCAAATAGAGCATTTTTGGGTGTCCCAATTTCAAGGTGAGATTTTTTTGCATGCGTTCTTTGTATAAGTTGAATGTTATTAAGAGTTTGGTTTCATTTGGTGTTAGGAAAAGAAGCCACACTGCAACTTTTTTACATGGGTAGATGATGCTACATCTGATACCATGGAGCTGGAAGATTGGAGAATTAAAAAGCTGGAGTTGAATGTAGCTGAAATGGAATTCAAGTTGAACTATGTGGACATGAAGCTCAATGATGAACTGCAGCTGGAGGTGAATGACCACAAAAAGAAGATTAATGAGCAACATATAAAGATTACTGAACTATCAATGAAGATGCATGCAGAGTTTGAAAGGGTGGAGAAGGAAATTAAGCATATGTAGGTGTGCTAAGGTGTTTGCTGGATCCATTATTGTTGTGTTTGTGATATGTATATATCTTGCAAGTAGGCTGGAATGAAATAAAAAGTGTGGTTCTGTTGAGATTTACTGGTGTATGTACCATTATATGTCGTAAGAATTTTGGAATGTAAAGATTTGTAATGGAAGGACCAGTGTTGAAATATAATGAAATGTTGTTCATGCAATGTATATAACATGGCTTATGTACTTGAACTTATGTTTATTGGCACAAAGTGTAGTATAAATTTGAAAGAGATAAAAAAAAATGGAAACACTATATGAACACTAAACTGAGATTGTGATGGTGTGAATATGCAAAAGTTAATTGTGTAAGTCATAAATGAAATCAGCATGTACAAGGGGAAATGACATTGCTGGTCTGTTAACAGCTTATGGTGGCACTGGTGTAACTACAAGTTTAACAGGGACTAAAAAGGACCCCTATAAAATTGTTAAGGACCAATATAGATCTACGTGTTATTAACCAAGGACTAAAAAGGTCCTCGATAAAAAATGTTGAAGGCCTATAAGGGAAATGAATTGCTGATGGATGATAAGTGCAGTGATGATACACATGACCCTAAAATGACACAACAAACACAAGATAAATACCAGTGTTAACATAAACAAGAAAATGTATAAGTAGAAGTAGTAATGACAGATGGTGTGGACTAAAATTTAAAAATTGCACATTGTAGACAGTAATGACAGCAAAGACAGATAGTAACTAGACATTTTGCATTCATTTCATCATATCCTAGTTACAAGCACTAACCATGGCCAACATGCCATAGTCATACCAAAAAATCCTATTGACATATTTCCATTAAGGCCAATACAATAATGTTCCAAAAAAAAGCATAGTGTTCCTACTAACTATGGCCATAACCAGAGGCATACAAAAAAAGCCTAATGACATATTTCAACAGGGCCAAAACCAAAGTATTTCCAAAAAATTGGCCTAATTCCAATTCCAATCAATTCCTATGTTAGAGGCATCCAAAAAATGGCCTAATGACATTGATTACACAATATTCCAATCAATTATGTAAGGCTGGTCTTGGTGGCTTGAACCCTGGTGTAGACATGAAGCTTATGAATCTGGTTCTGGTGCCACTATGCTACAGTTAGTGTCTCATTGGACACAACCTCAATAGGATTGCATGGAGGTGGGTTGCTGTCTCTTGATGGTCTTAAGCCTAGTTGAGCCTTAGTTGTTGTATGCTGGCTGCTTGTCTCTGGTACAGGGCATCCTTGAGTCATGACTATTTCTTCAACTGTCCTTGATTGAATGTCAACATTATCTGGTTTTTGCTTTGACCTTGAAGGAGCTGCAAGTCCCTTACATGTCTTTGGGTAATGACCAGTCTGACCACATTTGGAGCATTGAACTGTATAAGACTTTTTTAGTTTCTTGTTGGTCTTC